TTTTCTTGAGCATCATCAACTTTTTTTTGAGCATCATCAACTTTTTTTTGAGCATCATCAACTTTTTTTTGAGCATCATCAACTTCTTTTTGAGCTTTTTTAGATTCTTGTTCAGCTTTTTTAGATTCTTGTTCAGCTTTTTTAAATTCTTCTTCAGCTTTTTTAAATTTTTGATTTACTAGGACATCTAGATCTTTTAAATTTTTTAGCTTGTCCCGGAATATGTTATAAAACCTCCATTTCAAAGTTGGGATTAGTAGTTTAGCTTCTTTAAATTCTTTTTCAGCTTGTTTAGCGTCTTCTTCAGCTTCATATTTTGCAGCTTTTCGAGCATTTTCAGCTTTTTCTTTAGCTTGATAAAATTTTTCAAGTTTTGCGATAAGGTTTTCGACAATGTTTTTTAGATTTTCAGCTTTTTTCATAGCTTGTTCTAAATTTTGAGCTTTTTCATGTATTTTTTTGAATTGATTGTTTGCTGTGTTTGCTTGTTTGTTTTTTCCTTCTTTTTTTGATTCAGCTTCGTGAGCTTCTTTCTCAGCTTGTTGTTTTTTTGATTCAGCTTCGTGAGCTTCTTTCTCAGCTTCTTGTTTTTTTGATTTAGCTTCTTGAACTTCGTTCTTAGCTTGTTTAACACGGTTTATAGATAAAAGCTTTGGGATCATTAGCTTTGTTAGGAGTTCCGTTTTGACGCAGTTCAGGTTTTTTAAAGATTCTAAAGATTTTGAAATGTATTTTTTAATCTTTGGATTTGTTGTTAGGGTTTCTAGATCAATGGTTTTTTTGGCTAGATCTTCAGCTTTTGTGTCTAGATCTTTAGATATTGTAATTAGATATTGTATTGCGGCTTCTAGATTTTGAGCTCCTTCTTTTTCAAAATTTTGAGCTAGCTTTTTTAATACATCTGCTTGACCTTTAACTTCTTCAGCTAACGCATTTAGGTTTTTTGCGTTACTTTTAACATCTTTCAATAGATCGTATGTTTCCTTTTCTTCAAGTAGAATACCTTTTTCATCGTTAATTCGTTCTGATATAATTTGAACTAGATATTGAGCTCTTTGAACTATCTTTTGTGTTTTACTTGCTTGGGTTTCAACTTTATCAATTGCTTGATGTTTAGCTTTTTTGACTAGTCTTTGAGCGTCTTGATTTAGTGCTTTTAGTTTATATGTTTGGGCTTTAGATGGTTTTTTTACTTCATTTCCTTCGGGTTGAAATTGTTTAAATAGGTTTTGTAATCGACCTGTTTTATGAATAACATCTCCAGTTAGTGCATATAATCCTAATTGTTGAGTTGTAAAAGCTGGAATTGAAAAAATTGAGGTTTTTGTTTCTTTTGCCAGTTTAACTAGATTTTCAGCTTTTTTAATACCTTCAGCGTATATTGTGCTTGCAATGCTGTCAAATGCATCAACTTGAACTTTTTTGGCTTCATTTTGAGCTTTTTCGTTTTCAACATCTTTAGCTAGTTCTTTTGCTTCATTTGCATAGTTTATACATTCTGAAGCTAGTTTGTATGCTTTATGTGCCTTTTTCATAGCTTTTTCAGCTAGTTTATATCCATAAAATAGATTTTCTGTGTTTCGAGCCTGTTCAACTTGGGTTTGTGCTTTAACTAATGGAATTTGAACTGTTTCAGCTTTAAAGTGTACTGTTTGTACTAGAATCTCAAGTGCTTTAGCTCGAGTTTCTTCAGCCATCTTTTGAGCATGATATACTGCTTCTTGAGCTAGTTTTTTTGCTTCATTTTCTTCGGGTTGAAATTCTTTAAATATTTTTTCTAATTGAGCTCCTTTACCCTTAATTTTTGTAGCTATTTTGTATACTCTAACTGTTTTCTGTTCAGCTTGTTTAGCTAGTGCATATTTTTCAGCCAGATCTTCTGTTTCTTTAGCGTCTACAAATAGCTTTTCTGCTTCACCTGCTAGACCTTTAGCTGCATCAGCTCCAGAGTGTAGTATTTGTGTTAGACTGACAGGTGCTTGATCTAGAACATCTTGGGCTAGCTTTTGAGTAACACCTACTGCATTTTGAGTTTCTTGAATTGAGTTTTTTAGTTTATCTGCCTGGGGTTTAAATTTTTCAATTTTTTTTTGTAATGCAGCTGCTTGATCTATAACTTTTTTGGCTATTTTGTATGCTCCAACTGTTTTCTGTTGAGCTAGTGCATATTTTTTAACCAGATCTTTTGTTTCTTTAGCTTCTTCAACTAGATTTTGTACATCAGCTAAAATTCCATTAGCTGCTTCAACTTTAAAGTATAGTATTCGTGCTAGACTGACAAGTACTTCAGCTTAAAAATCTTCGGCTAGATTTTGAGCATTAGCTACTTCATTTTGAGCTGCTTGAATTAGTTCTTTTAGTTTATCTGCCTGGTCTTCAGCTTTTTTGTCTTTGATCTCTTGAGCCAGCGTTTTTAATTCATCTGCTTGGATTCCAATTTTTTCAGCTAGGTTTTGTAATTGAACTATGGCATCCATAACTTCTAGAGCTATTTTTTCTGCTTGAATTATTTTCTCTTCAGCTAGTAGATATTCTCTAATTGGATTTTTTGTTTTTTTAGCTTTTTGAATTAGGCCTTCTGCTTCAATTAATAGATTTTCAACTTTTTCGACTAGGTTTTTAATATTTTCTTTTTCTTGACATTCAACTGCTTTTACGAGATTTTCAATTTCCTTAATTGCTAGATCTCTAGTTTTTTGAGCTTTTTCAGCTAGATTTTGTAGCTCAAGGACTAAATTTTCAGGTTCTGCGTTTCCAGCCTTTTCAACCATTTTTTTAACTATAATTTGGTTAGGTAGTCTGTTTAATCGAGCTACTTGATATGCAGGTATTAAAGCTAGTAAATATGTTTCAACTATGGCATATAGGCCTTCTGTTTTTTGAGCCTTTTCAACTAGATTTTCTGCTTCATCTGCTAGACCTTTAGCTGCTTTAACTTCAAACTTTAGTATTTGTGCTAGGATGTGAAGTGCTTTAGGTTGAGCTTCTTCGACAATCTTTTTAGCATCATCTGCTTCATTTTGAGCCTTTTCGTTTTCAACATCTTTAGCTAGTTCTTTTGCTTCATTTGCATAGTTTATAACTTGATCAACTAGTTCGTATGCTTTAGCTATGTTCTCCATAGCTTTTTCAGCTGTTGCATCTGCATCAAATAGATTTTCTGTTTCTTGAGCCTGTTTAAATAGGGTTTCTGCTTTACCTAATAGATTTTGAACTGTTTCAGCTTTAAAGTGTACTGTTTGTACTA